AAATCGACCGTATGATGAAAGAAAGAAATCTAAAGCGTTTGTTTCATTTAATTTGCACAAATGTTTATGTTTAGTCCATTAGGAGACATTTTACTAATCTATATAATTTAGATAATACAGTTGTTTGAGAATTTTACCCTTTCCCCTATTTTTCACGTCTTCGTAACTTTTTCAAGGCTATCTGATATGTTGCTGATTCCTTTCTTTCACGTACGGCCAGTTTTAGATGCTGTAATACTGGCTATTACCTTGAATAGTTCAACTATGTTCCTGAAACCTCCTGTTATGATCTATATTTACAAAACCCAGATCAGATCAGACCAAGTGTGTTTCATTAAGACAGATTATATGTAATGGTGTTTCATTAAGACAGATCAAAGTCAGTAATAAATAAATCAGTGTTACTGGTGAAAATTTTCTATTGAATCATATAATTAAAGTTATGGCACTTATATGTGAAAAATAATATCGCCCAAATGTCCCCAAAAATCATTAGACGCCAAGTTACTAGAACACCGTTCATACACACACACACACACACACATATATATATATATATATATATATATATATGTGTGTGTGTGTGTGTGTGTGTGTGTGTGTGTGTGTGTGTGTGTGTGTGTGTGTGTTTCTGCGTACCGAATGATATTAATATCGGTCCAAGTTATTGGAACACCCTTTATTTATATATATATATATATATATGTGTGTGTGCGTGTGTGTGTTTCTGTGTACCGAATGATATTAAAATCGGTCAAGTTTTGAATTGATTTTTTTATATATATATATATATATATATATATATATATATATATATATATATATATATATATATATATATATATATATGTGTGTGTGTGTGTGTGTGTGTGTGTGTGTGTAAGGATGGATGGATGGATGTATGTGTGTGTGTGTGTACTGAATGATATTAAAATCGGTCCAAGTTATTGGAACACCTTTTTTTATATATATATATATATATATATATATATATGCATGTATATATATATGTGTGTGTGTGTGCGCTCGCGTGTGTGTGTGTGTGTACCGAATGATATTAAAATCGGTCCAAGTTATTGGAACACCCGTTTTATATATATATATATATATATATATATATATATATATATATATATATATATATATATATATATATATGCATATATATATATATATATGTGTGTGTGTGCGGTCGAGTGTGTGTGTGTACCAAATCATATTTACATAAGTATCTGCTGAACATGTTGCCTATGTCTTGTATGCATATCAGAAAAGATGTGTGGGTTGATACTTTAATGTTCTGAGACAAGCTGAATCTGTACGAAGAAAGCAACAAGCAAAAATTATGTGATTTTTTTGCTCCTATTTTAATCCTTCTTCTACCAAAACATTTCTTACGTTGAATAGCATTTTTTAATCTTTTTTTGTCTTTATCACATACACACACGCACATGCACTCACACGCACAAACACTCACACACACACATACATACACAATCATAAACATATAAACAGACGTATAAACACAAAACAAAAAACTGTTATTTACAAATCGACTTTTTGATTTCTCTTGTTTGAATGACTCTTTTTTATCGTTCGTCTGACTAGGTTGGCAATTCTCTTCGGCCGATGTAAGTATATATGTGTGTATGTATAACTAATCTATAATATGTATATATAAAGTATATATATATATATATAATTGGTAACAGAAGCCATTGTTTTATACCAACGACTTCCCATAGTTAATACTTCTCGAATTCACTCTCGCGTAGTCATGTGTGACGTCAGGAGATGCGGTGCGAGTTTCGCTTCCAGCGTTTTATATGCACGTGTTTATCGTTGCTTGGAAATCATCCATGTAAACAGAAACAGACTATCATCATTTTCTTGTCGGTGTATTCCTTAATATATTGTACTGTAATTGTCATATTTGATAAGGGCTTATGTAAGCCGAAAAGGTTAGATTGGATTAAAAAATATGTATCCATATTGTGATTTTCTTTCTTCGTTTAATGATAATAGACAACGCTTTTCTATATTATTCATGAATGAATATATATATATATATATATATATATATATATATATATATATATATATATATATATCTGCGTGTGTGTGTGTGTGTATAAATACATATATATATATATATATATATATATATATATATATATATACATATTAAAAAGATGTTACATATGGACAAACAAGTATTCACGACAAAGATGCGTTTTTTTGTTTCTATGCGAATGCATCTCGACAGGTGAGGAACATAGATGGTCATAAACGATTCTATTTAGAAATGCTACTTATGAAACATCACTTTCTATTTTTCATTATTCATTTTTTTAAAGGCATAAAGAGAACAACCATAAAAGGAAAAGAAATAATAATAATAATAATAATAATAATAATGATAAGAGGAAGAAGGAGAAGAAGAGGGACGAGGAGAAGAAGAAACAGGTAAAATCAAAAAGAAGAGGATAAGAAAACAATAAATGGAAAAAACGGAAATAAAAAAGAGAAATGTGAGAGTTAAGAAACATTAAAAGACAACACGTCATAATTCCAAAGAAAAAAGAATAAAAGGGAATGGCATAGTAAAACGAATAGGAGAAAATTCTACATGAATAAGAAAAAACGAAAGAACGGAGAAATAAAAGAAAGAAAGAAAAAAGGAACAAAGGAACACAATATGTGTCGTTGATAACAATTTGTCTAATACATCTTTGTTGTGAGTCTTCTTTGTCTGGATGTAACATCTTTGTAATAAAATAATATTGCTCTACTCTTGATATTGAGCCCTCTTTTAAATTAATGCCATGAACGTTGAATATATATTCTTTTCGTACTCATTACATTTGAATACACACACACAGACACACACACACTCTGATATTGAGCGCTTTCTAATAAGTACCGCGCGTATAATATATCAATAATAATAATAATAATAATATGTAAATATATATATATATATATATATATATATATATTTATATACAAACACTTTTCACATACATACATACACACACACACACACACACATATATATATATATATATATATATATATATAAACATATATACATACATATATATGTGTGTGTATGTGTATAACAATAATATATACATATTTTATTATATATATATATATATATATATATATATATATATATATATATATATATATATATATATATATATATATAATGGTACATATAATATTTATTTAATTCATGGATGTTAATTTTTTAAAATTTTAGTCGTTTCATTTATTTAGGCGTACTATATAAAATAAATATTGTATTTTATGTTTAAAGTTATATAAAAATTATTCAATCATACCAGAATCCCTTTAAGATACTTCTAAAATACATAAAAAATAATTTTAAAAAGACAAAAATTAACTCGGACACTTTATCCCATAAATATACCAGACCTTAAAAATATTTTTCTTATATATATATATATATATATATATATATATATATATAATCTTATAAATATTAGTATACTCCTCCGGAAAACCATAGGTGTATTAGCTTATAATAGAATATATAATATATATATATATATATATATATATATATATATATATATATATATATATACAGAAAAAGATTACCATATGAAAATTTTAGAATAACATGAAGACATATGAATTTTGTGCCTCAAACATTTTCTCCAGACGGGCTTTAACCACAAATTTAACAACATAGATATAATTATTATGTAAATCAAGCCCTACCAATATTTCTCACCTACACAAGACGGATATGTTTGCAGTGGTATTCTCACACTTAATCACAAACTCATACCGATATATAGATTTACAGACATCATACACTCTCCTAAAGAATTAACACACACTTTCCCCCAAGCAGCCAATAAAGCTGTCAAAATTTCCAAGAAGGGAATTCTCCGATTCATGAATCTCCCAAGCTTCTATCTTAAAAACAACTTAAAAGAGGCCGTTTGACCAACACACGGACAGAACAAATTTTACGATTAAAAAAAGCAATAAAACTACAGATATAATTCATTTTCTTCATAAACATTCGCTCCTGTAGTTCACATAGTTTACAAGCAAATTTTCGTCTCCTATTTTTTCTCCTGATGATGGCCATGCTGGCCGAAACTATTCGAGGAACCTAATTGAAATAATAAAACGAAAAAATATTAATATACAACCTAGTGTGTTTCAAAATTTTAATTTTTTTTAAATATTTTTATTGTTCAAAACACATATATATATATATATATATCACGATGTTACAGGTCGGTAATCACATGTAACACCGTGATTCCCCACCTGATGAGACGTTTAGAAACGGTTTTCCTTTTTTTTCTGACACTGAACCAAAAATGTGTCAGTTTTGTATTGCATGTTCTAACGTAACGCTGCATAAGATAAATAAATATTTACGGCTCTACTTTATCGAGCACTATTTTAAAATTAATGTTCTGAACGCTCTAATCTTACTGTTCGTTCTTGTACACTTTGATAAGTATATATATATATATATATATGTGTGTGTGTGTGTGTGTGTGTGTGTGTGTGTGTGTGTGTGTGTGTGTGAAAAAATTTAGAAAATAGGAAAGAACTGGTTAGGTAAATAATCCAAAGTTCTTCAGTATTTTTGTTATTATTTAAAAAAAAAACAGTGCTCGATACAAAAGTAGAGCCTAAATATAATTATTTATTTAAAAATATGTTTCCATCGCTACAACCATGGAATCATATTTTTAAATAAATAATTATATATATATATATATATATATATATATATATATATATATATATATATATATATATATATATAGAGAGAGAGAGAGAGCGACTTAGCTTCTTTATTGTATACTGTCGCTATATTGATATTAACTCTAGAGTCTTATATGTACATTAATCACATATCTTATCTTTGTATGAGCAAATATCTAAACTAATGCATTCTTTCCTATCCTGTCTTTCTCTTATTCATTTTCACGCACCAGTATCCGTCTATCTACGTACGCTGAAATATATCTCGCCATCACTTTTCCATGCACAACCGTTTGCTTCAAGCCCGCCCGTATATGCCCCCCCTCCCGTTCACCGAATAAATCCATTTTCAATCAATCGATCGAGCGTTCGATCCATCTAATAAACGTTTCTTTCCCCCTGCAACCCATTTGTAGTAAAACTGGGCTCCTTTTACCTTGTGAGAACCTTTGGGACACTCAGTCTTTTTACCAAACGAATATGACAGCCTCGATCAGTAGAGATGGAGCCGAAGCCTCCGCGGCAAGTCTCTGTCATGTGACACGTAAGAAATGCATGACGGGACTTACTTCTACCAACTACAAACTGCTGGGGCGAGAGCACGTTCCAGAATTTTCTAAAGGAAATTCTCAGGAGAAATCTCGCTGATGGATAGAAGGACACTTAAGCACGCACGCTTCTTAAACTGACTCGGCGTATTTGGTGAGATTTATTTTAGCATTTTACATACGTGTGAGTAGATTGCGTGGTTTTCCGCCATAGTGTGTATGCTGTCCATATATATATATATATATATATATATATATATATATATACACATACACACGTTTGCATGTGTACTCGTATGTATGGATAAGATGTAAAGAATTGACTGTGTCTGTTGCAGACCTTACAGAACGAAAATACTCTTATCAGAAAGACAAATGAAATTAAATTAAATCTAGTAGCGACAACGCTTTAGACTTCTAAAATCCATGAACATCGCTCTAAAAATGTCTGTATACACTTAAAGCTTGCGATATATGTCCACGTTAAAATATTTAACACAAATTAATAAATATTAATCAAATAATATGTTAATATTTGCCTATAAAATAAAACGCAAATGGCAAAGACATTTCTGTTCAGCTATTGCATTGTCTCATAAAATCAGTTTCCATATGTTGGATATACAACTACCAACATTTCTCGAGTGTTAACTTGTTTTTTTTTTTATTAGTATAAAGAAAATAATCAAGTATATTACACATACAAGATTTATTGTAAAATATGTTTCAGTTCCTTGAATCTATAATCATAAAAATAAAAATAATAAAACTAAATACAATCTATTTTTTAGGGGACTCGGACTTAAATGTTTAAAAATTTTTAAGACACATATATCCCAGTAGTGAACTTCGCTTCCATGTCTTCCCATGAAGCGGTTTTAAAATATTTTATCCGCAAGCAAGGCAATAAATCCCCTAAAACGCATAACGTTACAGAGCGTGAAGGAGATAGTTAACACAGAGAAACAGATGTTGATGTTTGATGTTGCAATTAGATAATTGAATATCGTACGTGACAGGGATTTAAGAAGACGGCAGAGAGTTAGACATTTGACAAGTGCGAGGCACGAACCAATGGAATTATACGTACTCTTGTGACGGTTACACACCTGGCCCAGGGTCGAATCCTTTGGTTACGGCGCCAACTGTGACGTCGCTCCTCCTGGTCGCTCCTCCTGGTTCCAAGCGTGCCGCTCCAACCATTTGGTTAGATGATCACCAGCCTCGCCTTTCCCAACCCGCTTCCAATACCTGGTTACTGAAGCAACTGTACTGATCTCCGGTCTGTCTACCCACGTTGTGTTTGTGTTTGTGGACTATGGCACCAAGCTTCTATCACACAACCTAAGGATTTCGAATTGCCTACTCTTTAGAATTGTGTATGTCGGAGTGTGGTTTAGTTCGACACTGGGGCTAATTTCTATCGATCATTCGCAGTTGATTCTTCTCTTCGACTTGAGTTGTATTTCTTCTTCTTCGTCGACTTAGATAGAACTTCTCTTGTCTTCGACTTGGGCTGGATCTTTCTGCGGCTTTCGAGTAATCTTCTTCTTTGTCACTTGGGCTGGAAGTTCTCTTGTCTTCGACTTGGGTGGAAGGATTTCTTGTTTCGACTTGGGTGGAAGGATTTCTTGCCGCAACTCAGCCGCTACTCTCTGTCGTCCGAGGTGATCTCTCTCGCTGCCGTCCGGGGCTGAACTGTGCCGTAGCTCTGCCGTAACTCTGCCACAACTCTTGCTGCCTGTCTGGCCTGCAATTCTTCTTCTTGTCTGCCTGCAATTCTTCGGCCTGTCTGGCCTGCAGCTCTTCTTCTTATCTTCGACTTGGCTGTAACTTCTCTGCGGCTTTCGAGTAATCTTCTTCTTCGTCTACTTGGGCTGGAAGTTCTCTTGTGTTCGACTTGGGTGGAAGGATTTCTTGCCGCAACTCAGCCGCTACTCTCTGTCGTCCGAGGTGATCTCTTCTCGCTGCCGTCCGGGGCTGAACTCATGTCTTCGACTTGGGCTGGAAGGATTTCTTGTCTGAGGATTCTTTTGCCCGCAAAGGGGCGAGTGAATCGGGCCTGATGCCCGCGTTCGGGCTCTATCCCTGCCCGCGGTCCAGCTGCAACTCTGCCGAAACTCTCAACTCAACTGATTTCTGTCGACTGGGGTCCTGCTTTTATTGACGCCGCAGCAAACCGGGGTGGGTCTGTTGGCGTCAGGGTTCTCGATAATTCCAATAGCCGCATTAATTCTGTTTCCCCATTATCGCTATTGTTTTCACCCCTACTTCCTCACAGTGCCTTTGGTGGGGAGGCGTACACCCATCTCTCCCGGTTTTTCTCGTATGTCAGGTGACCGTTTTTGACCAATGGTTCCTGATCGAGCATTCTTCTCTTCTTTCCGCATATCCGTGACCGCTTTCGGCTAATGAGATTGTGGTTGGGCGCCTCCCCATCTCAAATCGGGCGTGGCTTACATCGTTCTTGTTTTAAAAAACAAAATCTAATTTTGCCCTTTTTCACGTACGAAAATGACAATCTTGGCTTTTTCTCACCTGGGCTCTGTCAAAACAGCCTGCCGCTAATTAGATGTGACTTCAGGAAAGAATATTGGCGCCATCTGTGAGCTGAGACAATCGTTTTTTTCACCTCTTGTTTTTGTCAGACCCGACAGTCAGAAAATCTTAATTATCTACATTGAAAATGTCCCCACTTTATTATCGTGGGTTTCCAATTCTTAATAGGTCAGAATCTGTATACAGTTCCACCGCTCACTCCCCTCAACCCAAAAGACACTTTTTCTCCGATCAAAAAAAATTCGTTTCTATTGTTCTAAAAAGAAATTCCCCTTTCTCCAATTTGACAATGAGTCTTTCCACGCAAAAGTAGGCTAGGGTTTTTGACCGATATTCTTATCGCCAATACACTGTCATCAAGCCTGGTTCTTTTCTCCCTCTAAATGATTTTTTCATTTCAAATGACAATTCTCTATTGTCTTTTAAAATTCGGCCAACACGCAGGCCAAGATATCTTTCTGACACCTATCTTCGCTTTATGACCGGGTCATGCATCATCCATCTCTCTTTCCTTTTTTCCCTTTCTTCCTCTTTTCTTTCCCCTTCCTTCTTCTTTCCTTAGGATCGTCTAAGTACCAACTTAGTGAATTATTTTCAACTCAATTATTTTCCGTTTAAAAAAAAAATCAACAACCTGTTTAATAAACCGAGTAAAAAAAAAATTAAATCATATTTCTATGAATATTTCTAATAATGCAAGGTGCCACACTCTTACACTTGGCATTTTCGTCATTAACAAGATGTAACCTAACTGCCAATTTATTACTATCCTTAAATTAAATAACCTGAAATATAAAAGACGAGCAATGGGAAAAACTGTCATGAATATATTTATAGAAAAGACACAAAAAGTTATAAGATTAGAGAGAGGGTAGATCACCTTGAATTAGGTGGAAATGATTCTGGAATAATATATATATATATATATATATTTTTATTATTATTATTATAATTATTAAAAAAAATAAGACTTCTAATGTTTCAAAAACTTCTGTAATTTATCCCAAGAATCTTCTTCTCGAAACAGGAAGAAGCCGGCTCAATCCGCCCAGGGTGAATGCCGCATCAGTACAGTACAGTAAGCAAGGCGATAAAGCCACTAGGACGAAAAGGGTTTACTTGGATTGGAAAGGAATGAGAAGACATAAGTGAAAAGATTGGAGACTAAATGAACATTTGGCAAACTGGCCAACACAAAGTTCTGACCTCACTATAATTAAAATACTGTGATAGGAACTGAAGTAACAATTGCTTCAACGAAAAACCCAGTCTCCAAGAACTTCGGGATGATTTCCAAGAATAACGCGGAAAAGATTCATAGTAAAAAAAATGTCTTTTCTTTTTCCATTCACTAACAGTAACTACTAACACCATATGTTGACATATTCGACTTTTTGTTACAATAATAAATAAAAAAAACACTCTGCGCAAAAAAGATTCCTTTTTAACATAAGAAAATTGCTGAAAGGTGAATTTATTTTGCTAGTATTCCAGTCTATGTGCACACCACTTGTTCAACGTCACTATGCTTAATCTTTTGAGTCCTGACCACCACTGCTAGAGAAAAATGGCTTAATGCCCAGCCACCGGTTGAATGGTGGGAAAACATTTGTAACTACTTTTATTTCTACCGTAAAATATTACATACCAATCTTTTGCGAATTTTGACTCAGGAGCTCAGGCAGAAGGTTTGAATTTTGTTCAGGAACACAGAGCTCAAAGTGTTAAAATGCTCTAACATCCATCATATAGTATTAACGAACATCCAGTAAATACTATACTGATTAATTTTAAATTAAAAATTAAAATTAGAATAACATCTGAACTCTCTCCGAAATTAACAATGTCCAGAGATATCGTAAAAAGCTCTTGATCTTAAGATTTTGAAGAAGAAAGTGTATTTAATCATCATCCTTTTTACGTCCCTATAGTTGGCCGGAACTATAGTTCTTTCTTCGGCTAATACAAAATGTGGGACGCCAATCTTACATCCGGAAGTGTTTATCCAGACACCGTATCTAGAAAAGTGTCACCCAAGTCTAAAGACTTCTTTCAAGATGAACTGAAATATCCCTTCTTGCAATTTAAATTTACGCGGACTGCCTTCGAGGTTCAAGCTGTGGTTTCGTTCTCAGGATTTACTCCCGAAACCTTTCTCACGATTGGATATGGCAGCAAGACAGCAGGGGGTTTAAAATCAGAGTTTTCCTCCACTTAGAAGAAATACCGGCCCTGGCTGACGTATTTCATTTTTAATCAAATATGTATTATTGAAGGAGTTCTGAAAGGAATAGCTATATCTACTCATATATAATATTTCTTATATATTTATATAGATAATAAATGCGCGCACATGTTGCTTACAATATATAAAAAGTGACAACAAAAGATACATTGTATATTTTATCTTTATTATTTATATAACATATGGTAGGAGAATAATGATTTTAATAAAAAAAATGCATTTCTTCTTAAGAAATTACACGTCTGTATACGAAACTCAGCAGATATGAATATATGAGAGTCTGGAAGGAGAGGAAT